GGGGGGGGGGGGAATCTCTGAGAATGATGTTTAAAATGTCATAGGGAGGGACAGAAAATAAAATCTAATGAATGAGTCCAAGAAAATAACTATAATCAATCCACTGCTCATCCATAATTCACAGTTAAGGTAACATTAACATTTTGTGTTTACTTAAAGAAATGATTGGAAAATTATTAATGTTAGGAGAGAACCTAAATAATAAATAAGCCAAAGGGCTAACCAGGAAACCAAAGGGTTAATGCCCTTCTGAATTTTAAAAGTATAGTAAAATACATCAATACTAATTGCCTGTAATCTGAAACCAAAACTTCAGGTATGCTTCCTTGTTCTTAGTAACAAGAGCACCAACAAGTATTTATTGAGCATTCGCCATGGGTCAGATACTGTTGTGAACACTGCAGAGAATACAGCATTGAAGGTGACAGAGGAGGCTCTGTCCTTATGGAGCTACGTGCTGTCACAAGGAGGAATGATAAATATGGTTAGACCGGGGAACAAACCATGACTAATCCTCTGGTACAAAGAATCCTGCCTTATAAGGCAGAATCTTTCTTGCTGAATTGCAATTTTACAGAAACCTGAATCTTTTCCAGCAGAAGAAACTTAGTTGTGTGTGTTTAAAAGGTTTGGAGGCCTTTTAAGACATAGGATTGGAGATAAAAGGCAAATCCCATCAAGTCAGAGAAGAGTTGATGTTGTTTTGACTCTCTGAACCCTGCCCAAACTAATTCCTAACAATTCATTTGTGGCTTTGGTACAGAACTTGGTTAATACTACAGATTCCTAGGAAGCTCTGCTACATTTGGAAACAAAATGGGAGGTAAACAAAATTTGTCTTTGCTATTCTCTGCCATCTCCCTCATTTGCCATGTCTTCTTGTATTCCTCTCTTTTTTCCTCCCTATTTTTCTATTTTGAAAAATTTTTTAAATTCTTCAAAAATCAATGTTTTCTTTTACTATACTATTTTCCCAGGTCTCATTCTTAATATCTCTTCAGTGAGTCAGACTGGGGGATAATAAAATGAAGAGTTCTGGGTACACAGTATAAAACCAAGTACAGTTTAATTTCCCTCATTTGATCCCTCTTATCATATCCCTACAAGTTCCTTTCCCTCTTTTCCATCAGTCTTTGGTCCCTGACTTTCTACTCTATCATCCTCTTTCCACTTCCCTCAATTCCCCTTCCATTCTTTCCAAACCGAAAAAAATGATCATTAGATATAAGGAGAGCTGGAGTTGTGTAATACAAAAGGATTGACAGTATGTTATGTGTGCAGTTAAGTTCATTACATAAGGATTCATCCCTTTGAGTTTAAGACACTGCCTTATGTGAATAAATTTCACTAGAACCATGGTTACTAGATATAAAACTCAGAAGATTGTGAAGATAAAGTTTTATGCGTTTTCTTAGCTGTCTAAAGACATTATTTCAAAAATCGTTTTGTGTTTTCATATATACTAAAAATCTGCATGAGAGAAAGAGAAGTGGAGAGAGAACCCACCCTGTTTTGCCTCTCACCAGGTACCCACTTTCAAAGATCTCTTTAAGCCCTGGGTCTGGCATCCCTAAAACTGTCTTCATACTGCACGCCTAGGCCTCCTCACCTTCCTATCCTCCAGCCTGCCTCCCTGCAAGGTACTGGGAATGAGACCTGGAAAACGCGCAGGTATATAGTTAGACTGATTTAGATTTAAAGCCCAGCTTTATGTCTTATTAGCCCAGTGACCTTAGACAAGTTACTTAACTCTTAACAGTTTTCTCACCTTACAATGGTGCTCATAAAATCATCCCCATTGCACTGTTATAAACATTTCATGATCTGATCCATAAATTTACTAATCACAATATGTGGCATACAGTTGCCATTTAATAAACGTATATATGATTTACATATGCATAAGTGTACATACATTTATACACCATGTGCCCATCTTTTCCTCAAACACACATACAATTTACTTATCTGTCCTTCATTCAGGCAAAGTCTTGCCCTTCTACCCTTGAAGCATTCACATTTTTCCAAATTCACAATTAGCTAATGCAAAAATCTAATCAATGAAAATGTGCTAATAAGAAAGGATGAGAGAAGAGGACAGTGACTATTGCCTGCCAACTCAAATATCCCTCAGTGATAAAATATGGCTCTTGGAAACAAAACTGTACTAAAAATTGCATAGGCCAGTGACTTACAGTGAATTTAAAGCAGCACCATCTGGGAGATTCCTGTAGTAGCTCTGTGTAACTGTGACCCACTTCCTTTACATGAGCTAATTAATATGTAAGCCATCACTAATTTTAAAATAAGTAAATAAAACTTAAATGGATATTGTGTCCTTTTTCATATAAATTAAAGTGCATGCAGAGATGTTCCATTTACCCCACAACATTCTACAAAATAAAAGTAACTCTCAGGAAAATAGGGCAATAGGAAGCCTAAATGCCCATGTAATGTCAGTGATAAAGCAAAACCTAGAACACAATTCCCTTTTCAAGTCAATACTTTCAGACCATACCACAGTGATTTCATAAGGTGAACCAAAAAAAAAAGAAGCCCAGCTTTGAAAACTTCATCCAAAAGATCCAAAATCTGTGAATCAGGCAATCACAAGAGAGTCACACCTTTGCCCTACTAACATGAAAGACTTAAAAAATGGACTCGGTGCTTGGCCATGCGAGTCAGCCACTTAGTCATTTTTCTAGACACTATCCATCATTGAACACATTCCCGAATTTCATGCAACCTAATTTAAACGTCTATCTGGCTGTTCTGATCGGAATAAACATTCAATCAGTAAAAGCTTGACAACCCTGACACCTAGTGGCTCTGAGGAAATTGGTGAGGATCAGCTTGGGAAAATTAGCTAGCTAGTTACTGTGGCAGCATCTCACAAATACATCAAATTTAGTGATTACTAATATTTTTTTAATACTAATTCTGAAAGCAACTTTATAAAAAATCTATTTTGATTCTGTATTTATTTGGAGGTCTATACAAGGAGGCTAAAAGCTTTGCATTTGTAAAGAACATTTTCCTTCCCCCTTACACATTTAGCAAAATTCCACTAATCTTCAGAGATCAAACAAGAAAACTAAAGGTAGATTCATGCTTTGGCATATTCATGATTCTTTCCCTTAATTTTGTACGTACATCTATATCCTTTTTCTGGTCATCAGGTGATTTTTCTCCTCAAGTATCCCCCTGTCAAATATAAAAGTCATCTGGCCAAGCCATCACAGAGGTTTCCTTTATGACATTGAGGCATCCTTAGTCAAAGGGTAGTTATAGGTTCACAAACCAGCAGGAGTTGTCTTTAAGGGAGGTATAAGGACACATGTGGAAACCCCCAAACTGCACATCTAAAAGCAAGGACCACAGTGAATGCTTCAGGAAGCCGTATGAACGCAGCAGGTCAGCACAGCACAGCACAACCTATTTCTGCCCTAAACATTAGAAGATAAGTCTCCCTAGATCCACTTAAACCTGACAGGCAGAATGGCAGGAAGCATAAAGTGTTCATCTCCTCCACCAGGGAGAGTTTTGACTCCTACCTGCTGACGTTTGAAGGCTAAATAATCCAGATTTTCCAGCTCCTTTCCAAGCTTCTGGTAGGTTTTCTGGAGGTCAGATTTATTGGAAACATTTTTTAGAGACTCAAATGTTCTTTGAAACTGAAATTGAAAACAAAAGTAAATCATTAGGATAGCAGTACATTTTTCTCAAATGCCTAACTAGCTGAAACAGAGAAATAGTCCAGACTGAGCCTCAGTTTCTCTCATTCATAATCCAGAGTGAACACATGCCAATTGTCCTTCAATGAAATGATTGTAAAGAATTAGAAACTGTATCATAAGTATAACCAACATTACTGCATGAAAGGGAAGCATGTTTAATCCTCATTCTAACAAAAGAGCATACTGCATTTAAAAAAAAACTGTTTTAGCATATACTGTTACTTCTAATGAAAAAAATTGTGATGAATGTATTATAATTTCAAATCATAATGAGGAAGTGCTAAGAGAGCTCTCACGTTCCAATCACAGAAACAAATATATATATAAAGGTAGCTGTTTGTCTCTATAGAAATATCTATGCAAAATCAGCACCCCACAAACTTCAGCCAGGAAGATCTCTCAGATCTTATATTTTGAGAAGGAAAGAAAACTAACATTTTTGTAATTGAAGCATATGTAGCACGTTCAGGAAACATTTATTCATTTATGCTGTATAATGCAGATGAGTTATAAATCAGTTCTGCTGAATCAGAATGCTTCTGTTCATTTTTAAGTCAGATACTAGATAAATACAAAGGAGACAAATTGCAGTGGATCACAGAATGTTGTTCTGCTGCTAATAATTAATTAAGCAAAGGGAGATCACAAGATATTCAATTCTTGGTTTATTTTAGTAAATTAGAACATACTTTGGAAGATCAGTGATTGAAAATGTCAAGTAATGTCACCTGCAATGACATTTGCGTTTGCTCTTTCTCCATGTCATTTACCTCCCATATTCTCACTGTGTGCATTTAGACAGATTTCTACAGAGAGAGACTTCACCATTTTAAACACACCAGAATTCTAGGGACTATGATGCTATGAGACAGGCTAATAAGATTTTATAGAATATTATTAAGTTTCCAGGGAAATGATTTGACCTTACTTCAAACTCTGTGGGATAAGTCATATTATAATGGCATTCTACTGAATTAAATGTTCAATTTCATGAAAGCAACATGTTTATCTCAATCCAAGGTGACAGAGGAAAAAGAAATGGAAAATAACAGTGCTAAGCTTCCACAGCGCTACAGTAAATTAAATTCAACAAATAATCTTTTAGAACCTACTATGCACAAGGTACTATGAATATAAAACATATTTTCTGCCCTAAAGGAACTTAAAAACCATGAAGGAACTACACATGGAACTCAGAAATGGGAAAGACACTGACATTTATTGAGTGCCTGCTCAGTGCCAGGTACTTTGTGCTTTCCAATGTAATCCTATTTCTCTCCCCAATCTACAAGTGAGTACACTGGGACTCAGAGAGTATAAACCAGGTTTTTACTACAGTGTTTGTGCTCTTTCTACCATACCACTAACTCTAACGCAAGGCAAAGTAGTAAAGAGAATCCAAAAACAAAAAAAAAAAAAAAAGAGAGAGAGAGAGAAATAAAAGCAACATGTAGTAAAACAGAAAAAAAACTAGTTATACCAACTGAGGAACTCAGGCCATGTAGAAGACATCAAGAGATCTGATTTAGGCTTCAAATATAAGGACAAGTTCTCAGAGCCTTAAAAGGGAACAGATTCTACCCATCAGTTTCAACATAGCCAAAGTCTGCTCGTTTCCCTATTTTATAGCATAGTTTAAAAATTTATCTTGACATAATTATAATGACTTCTATATTAACTATTTATCATGTTGTATGATCATTTCTGTGTCTTGCCCATTTCTTGGTCCCTTCTCACTACATTCAAATCAAAATACCAAATTTAATATTCTAAACAATTTAAGCAAATTTACTAACAATTAATATAAACTAACCAATCTGTTTAATTCTAAGCATTTTATGTTCCCTAAAAAATATTAGCTCTACTTCTGAAATACTTCTTCTTCACATTTACTTCTGTGAATTTATACAGATCCAAAGAGGAATTTTAGGGTAAACACATTTATAAATCTTAAAAAAATAAAAAAACAAAAAAAACATGAAAACCAAGCAATATTTCCATGGCCAAAGAAGAAAGGGAGACAATCCAGGAAGAATACATCACCACAAAATATTTCTATGAAAAATCAGTCTGCATAAAGTGGAGACTTTAAAGTTTGACCTTTCATTATCAAGACTTACTCTCTCCATTTATTGACACTAAATAGCTCAAAGTATTCAAATTACGATGATTCATTTATTTAAGTAAATTTTTTCCCATATAACAACAAATAATTGTCAAGGAGAGGTCATACAATTATCTGTAGTGTCCTCTAGGTTAGATCCCTATTAAACATGCCCCATCTCTCTCTGCCCATATATATATTTAAAGATGCTAAAGAGTAAAAGCAATAATTTTACTTTGCAGATAAAGCTGACATGAAAAAGATAAAAAATAAGACAGTGATTAAAGAGAGGTTTAGATTTTACTTTTAAAAAATTAAATGTTGATTTATTTGAGGATTTTTCATTCCAATAGGCCACTGTGCTTGATCACTGAAATAGACCTCTTAAGATTTTCTCATTAGTTCAGTGCACTGCAATTTCATTATGTTGACTATGTCTCAGAATAAATGATCTCTCAGTTGAAGATAAGTTGGGAAAGGAAGCAGAATTAATTGAAGAGATTTTAACATTCCTAGATTTTACCTCTTCAAACTTTTGAGTGGAAATTTAAAATAAGCAAAGAAGGCCCAATAATTTGTTGAACACTACATTTATCCTGTGTTAATATTTTTCCCTTACTACAAAATTCAAATGTAAAATTAAAAAGCCTAATGAATAAATCTGACCTCCAGCAAGCCTAGGAATGTTCTAAAACTGCCAAAACTGAGTATCAAAATGGTCTCTGAACCAGGAAACAAATGCAAGTTCTGTTCTATTTGCTTACCTTATCAAACAAATATCACACGGCAGACAAGACAAAAATGAGAAGAAGCAAACATTATCTCTAAGCCTAAAATGTGTCACTAGAGTAAGCACTGTAAACACTCCCAGTGTGTTTTCTCATAAAACTCTTTTCTGTTCAGATTTTGACTCAAGATGGCAAATGTAAGAAGGTCCTGCATCCGCCTCCTCCCATAGACACATTGAAATTACAGCTGTATATGGAACAATTTCCTCTGGGGAAAAAAATCTAGAAACTGGCTGAGCAACCACTTCACATCAAGCAAATGAGAGGTAAACGTCAAAGCAGGTAGGAAAGGCTGAGACACAAACTCACCATAAACCCTCCCATCCCCAGCATGGCAACCCACATTTGGGAGGAAACTCAAAACCCACAGCTAGTCCCTGAGTATTGAAGGTTTTGTACCCCACATTAGGCATGCCAACATTTAAGACCAGCACCCAAGAGAAACCTAAAACAAGAGGCTTTGGAGACAAATGGAGCTCATGCCCACAAGATCGACAGGGCTTTATCAAACAGAAATGGCTCTGCAACAGCTGTGTGCAGGAGTGCCTGGGTGGCTCAGTCATTCAAGCATCTGACTCTTCATTTCAACTCAGGTCATGATCTCAGGGTCATAAGACTGAGCCCCACTGTGGGCTGAGCACTCTGCCCAAGAGGGACTCTGCTTGAGATTCTCTCCATCCTTTCTCTCCCGCTCAAAATAAATAATCTTAAAAAAAAAAAAAAAAAAAGCGCCCTGCCTGCAGGCTCACCGAGCACAAGAAGCAGCCCTTTGAAGATTTTATTTATTTGAGAGAATGAGAGAACATGAGCAGGGGGAGGGACAGAGGGAGAGACAGAGAGAGGGACAAAAAAAAAAATATCTAAGAAACAGAGGAACAAGCAGACTCCCCGCTGAGCAGGGAGCCCCACACAGGGCTCCATCCCAGGACCCCGAGATCATGACCTGGCCAAAGTCAGACACTTAACTGACTGAGCCACTCAGGCATCCCGTTTTCTTTTCTCTCTTGTTTTTAAAGATTTTATTTATTTGAGATTGTGACAGAGCAGCTGACCTTTGAAAAGCTTTCCAACTTTATGGGAAAAGACTCATTTGTCAATTTTACTTTATATTTTAATTTTAATTCCAGTTTAGTTAACATATGGTGATATATTAATTTCAGGCATACAATATAGTGATTCAAATATTCTATACTTACTCAGTACTCATCAGGATTAGGTGTTCTCGGGGCAACTGGGTGGCAGTGTCAGGTGGAGCATCCAATTCGGTTTCAGCTCAGGTTGTGATCTCACAGTTGTGGTATCGAGCTCCGAAACCAGCTCCACACTCAGCACAGTCTGCTCAAGATTCTCTCTCTCCCTCTCCCTCTCCCTCTGCCCCTCCCCACTCCACTCACTCCTTCTCTCTTGCTTGTTCTTGCTCTCTCTCAAAATAAATCTTCAAAAAAATAATCATAAGTGTACTCTTAATCCCCATCACCCATTTCACCCCTTCCCCCCACCCAACTCCCTCTCACAACCATCAGTTTGCTCTCTATAGTTAAAAGTCTGTTTTTTGGTTTGTCTCTTTTTTCCTTTGGTCATTTGGCATTTTTTTAAAGCTTTTATGCCAATTCCAGTTAACCTGGAGTGTAATATTAGCTTCAGATGTACAATATAGTGATTCAACAATTCCATACAACACCCAGTGCTCATCACAAGTGCACTCCTTCATCCCCACCACCTATTTCACCCACCTGCCAACCGACCTCCCCTCCTGGTAACCATCAGTTTGTTCTCTATACTTAGGAGTCTGTTTCTTAGATATCTTTTTTTTTTCTTTCCCTCTGCTTATTTGTTTTTTTTCTTCAATTCCACATATGAGTTAAATCCTACAGTTTGTCTTTCTCTTACTTATTTCGCTTAGCATACTACTCTCTAGCTCCATCCATGTCACTACAAAAGACAAGATTTCTATTTTTTATGGCAGAGTAATATTCCATTGTATGTATGTACCACCTCCTCTTTATCCATTTGTCAGTTGATGAACACCTAGGCTGTTTCCATAG